CACTTCTTAGCTTCCGAATTTTTAGGTGCGTGCACATTCAAAAGCGTTGAACAGTTGCCTTAGTCAAGCTGTGGCACAGCTCCAAAAGGACTGATTATCTCCTTTTTTGCCTTGAAATTGCTTTCACACGTATTTTGCTTTAGAAATCTGCGTTGAGTAAGAAATTCTGCAGTTTCTCAGCTGGATCGGAAGCGACGGGTTTCATCTCCCTTCTAGATGCTTTTCGACGTGATCACTAAGGAAAAAATCTGACTTTTTGCTGCTGAATCAAATCCGACATCGACTTAATCGGGAGCCTAAGCCTCAGTTTCTGCCCTAAAACCCTTTATGCATTATCATTATAACCTCACAATATTGTAAAAGCATTTTTTACACAAAAGAAAAGTGTACGCCATACTCACAATTTATCACAAACCTCCCCTTCGTTTCTTTTTCGGAACTCGAGTTGTGCAGCGTAATGATGGTGTTACTCACTTTCAAAATAGCTTGCCAAGTGCTACCTCACTTAGATTTTTGACAGTGATTTATTTACTGGATAGCGGATACAGCTTGTATTGTACGTTAGCACAAGATTCTCCTGAAAAATTTGATCGAAGCCACAATTGGCTTTGGTGCTTCTCGCATCCAGTTTCTGTAGGGTGATTTTAGTAACTATGCTTGAGTGCTAGGATCTCTACAAAGTTGTAACCATGAAATACGGACTCCTCTTCGTAGAAACAATGCCTTTACTTTAGTTAATGCTTCTGAGGACATCTTAAATGAAGTTTGAAGGCAGAAATTTGAGCTCAGGATTGCAGTAATGTCGATGTCGGATTAGTGTCGGTAGTAAAATGTCAGACTTTTCCTCAATGCTCAGGTCAAAAAGCATCCAGAAGGTGGACGAAACCTCGTCGCTTCCAATCCAGTTGAGAAACTGCAGAATTACGCAGGTTTTTAGAGCGATGTGAAAGCGTTTTCAGGGCAAAAAAAGCAGATAATCAGTCCTTTTGGAGGTATGACACAACTTGACTAAAGCAAATGTCCAACACTTTTGAATGTGTACATACCTAAAAAAAGTTCGAAAGCTAAAAAGTGCTTTAATCAGTAAAAACTCCAGGTGGACTTACAGTTCAGCTTTTTTCAAATTTTTGATTTTTTCTTGAGTAACCATACGAAAACGAGACCCGTTTTGATGACTGATAGTAGGCTGGTAAATATTGACAACAGAGTGAGTTATGGCATTTTAGTGTGGACCTATAATTTTGTCCGGCACTGTATTATAGTTGCTCCGACCCACTTGCTAGCGACCCGTAGGGTCGCTAGTCTTATATATAAAGAATCGTTAACTCAATTGAAAAATCTTCAAATAGCGGGAAACCGCGGCGGGTCCTGAAGCGCGGATGCAATCTAGCGCCTTCAATTACTGTTTCACTAGTCTAATATATAAATCGTTAGCTCAATTTAAAAATCTTCCAATAGCGGGAAACAGCGGTGCGGTCCCGAAGCGCGCGAGTGCAATCTAGCACCTTTAATTACTGGTCTGCTAATTTGAGAAAAATATCGTGGAAGTAAATCAAAATTCTCATGATAGTGCCAATGCTCCGCTCTTTCATCTAGTAAACTTTTACGCTTTTTTCCTCTCCCTCTCCCTCTCTGAGAATTTTGTAGAACTACCATTGTCTGCCACGTCTCTTTTTTTCCCCGAAAATTTCGCAGAATCCTGCCGACGTACATAATTTATCCTCGGATTTGTACTTTTTCCATTCACACCAGGCCAAACTCGTCGCTGCTACCACACATTTGAAGTGGATGTTTGCACTCAATGCGCTTTTTTTGCGGTCTTCGGCATGGCTGGGCGCCCTGTTCGATACATCACCGCTTTTTTTTGCCATATAGTACGACGGCGACAAAGCTTTTATTCTTTTCAGGGTCATGATTTTGATATTTTTTCCTGGCAGTTCTAGAAGAATACGAGAATGAGAAGTGCTTGTGAAACCACAGATTTTTGTCATCGATCGTCTATTTTCTTCTTTCTTTCAATGAAATGAATGCCAAAGAAATATTTCTTGTATTGAAAAATTTATGGAGAAATAATGAAAGAAAATCCATCTAAGCTGAATTGATCAATAAGCTAATGGAATGCAAATTCAATCTCCATCCATTTGCATCATAACCATCTCAATCATGTCTATCTTCTCTATTCGTCAGATTTCTTCCACTCTCTCTAAGGGAGGGAAGCGGGGGGGGGGGGGAAGAAAGGACGAAAAATAGTATGGGATTCAGCGTTTATAGACATTGTTTCCATAAATTATTGTCGGAACAGAAAAGACAATTCTTCTACTTCCGCCTTCATTCATACCCAGCCATGAACAAAATACGCAGAATGCCTTTCCATAATTTTTTTGCGTTCTCTCCCCCCCCCCCCCTCCCCAACCTCTCTTCGAACAGAACGACGAAAGAACATCTCTTCATGTCTATCAGGCAATGCAGTAAGTGCATCTCGCACATTTTGCAGAGTTAATCCCTCGCCATTTGTTCGCTGTCGTTGCTAGAGTGCTGTTCATCGCTAGAAAAGAGGGCGAAAGAATGGAAATCATTGTTTCGAAAATTAAAGTTGAAAACTTTTGAAATCAGTTGCTGTAATGGTTGTAAGCGCGAACTGAGCATATTGAGCGCGTCGTTTTGTAAAAGTAAATGTTTTTTTGCTACTTTTTTAATTCTTTTTTTTGCTCAATCAATCACTGGATACCATTTCATGCACAGTGGATGTTGGTTTTCATGTTTCTCAATTTTTTCTGCATTATCTGACTACTTATAATAGCCTATCTTTTTAACTATTAGAACTATACAGAATTTTTAGGTTTTTCTCATTATTCGATAAGTAAAAACAAGTCACTGCATAATTTTTCGCCATTCCAAACCTTAGTGGTAGATATGACGAAAATTTTTATGAGGCTATGTAGAATTTATGCGCTTAGGATCTTATTTTAAGGATATTTTTAGACAAAAGTCCAGGGTCATTTCGTTGTGCTGAAAATGCATAAGATAGTTCCATTCGAAGCAATGTTTAGCGCGGGTACATAGTAATTCTCATGCAAGTTCTTAAGGCGTAAACCAAATCGCTTTTTCAAAGGCAGCTTAAATAAACCATTTTTGGACGAAAAATTTGGCTTGAAAAACACTGGACCGTAATGTCATTCCAAGTGAACCAATTAGCCTAAATCTAGAAAGACAATGGATTCGCTCTGACAAGTTACGGTCTGGGCTGTAGTTTGGACTTGCATATCCTCTTCTATGGATGAAATAAGTGCATGAAGGCTTAACAGTTAGTATGGACATAGGTAGTGAATCACTTGACGTATAAGCAAGCCTTTGACCCCCCCCCCCTCAGTTTTAGCGACGTTTCGTTCATTTGTTCTAGTCTCTTCAAAGCTTGTTTGAAAAGCGCAGGTCATGAGTCCCACAGCCAAACTTTGAAAAAAGTTAAGTAGATATGTGTGAAGGAATTGAAGAGTCCTCTCCTGAAGCTGAGAGGCTACGGAAAGGAGCTGTGACTGAAAATCGTGACCATTGGGAAGTTGATATACACAGAAGATTGAGTAGGGAAGATTTTGAACAGTCACAGACAGTACAGTGGTAATCAAGGTCCGGCACAGTTGATCCGGAGTCAAATTGCACGTTTCTAGGGTAAAAGCAATCGGGGTATCGTTCTTGTAAGGTCGTGGGAGGACCCCCCCCCCCCCCAAAAAACAACGACAAACATACCAGATTTTATGAGTTGAACGCGTTCTTTTGCAAGCGCACAATTCTAAACGCAAGTACTGAGCACTAAATCGCTACCATACTCAATAATAAAGCCTGTAATCAACTCAAAATATGTTTTTTTCGCTCTTTTGTTATATTAGATAAAAATACGCTTTGTTCGCTTTTTTACTGTTATGTTGATTGAATAAAGGTTTCAGTTATTCTGACGTCAAAGGGAACTTCTTAAAATTTCACAAAGTCATGGGGACCTCGTTTCCAAAAATGCTCCAAACCAAAACGTGCCGAACCCTGGTTGCAATATTTCCCGCACAACTGCACAAACAAACTTCTTCAGTCATGCGTTTTGGAACAGAAATTACCTCACGTGTTTGAATTTCAATACATGTCCTTCTAAAGTACTGAACTTTTAAATAATCGCTATTGAAAACGATAGATGATGGATATGTGACGACATTGCGCACGACACTGTCATGCGCATATCCTCTTTCAGCGGATATCCAAACCAAACATAGTTTTCTGTTTGTTGGAAATGTTTGATTCATTCAGTTCCATGGTCAGCTTGATTTGCTTTGCAGTTGTATCCCCAGAGTCTGCCTTTTGCCTTTGTTTTTTTTGTGCAGTATGAAAAAATCACAAGAATATCACAAATTCATTACAAGAAATTTCACGGTCTAGTTAGAGTGATTCGTACAAAATTCTCCGTACGGGTGAAGCAGATTTCCGCATTTTTCTTATAATCTGTTCTCTGACTGGGAGACGCGAACACGCTTTGCGTACATTTCATTAACAAGTTCACGAGTGAGTTTTAACGCGTTTTGGTTGATATAATGTTAGAATTCGTGGAAGAACATGTTTAAGCTCGTTAAACCACGCTGGCTTCAACACGCTCTTTCACGAATTCTTGGTAGTAATCAATTAAAACGCGTTAGAACTCATTCATAAACTTGTTGATCAAAAGTACGCAAAGCTTGCTCGCATCTCTTATTGTTAGTCAGAAAATGAATGACACGTGAAGGGCTAGAGGAAAAAATTCTGAACTAAAGTTGGAAAGATTTTATGATCACAGGATCTAGTGTGAAATTTCGGCGCTCTTAGCAGAGAATACTTACATTTTTTGTTGAATTTTAGCTACGAGATAATTTTTCTTTCTCGCTCATACAAGTGTCATCTGAATTCGTCATAGATTTTTTCTCATCCGACAGTCCGCTTTTCGTGCTTCAAATTTTGAAATGCTCCTATTTTCTAATAACTCATTTTTTCAGAAGAAATATGCGTGTGTGCTTTGCCAGTGTCCCCCTTGTTATCCTTTTCTTCATTGCCTTCTTCTCTACACCTTGCTCAGCCGATGAAGATCTGGTCGAAACCTTCAAAAACATCGATGTCTTCAAGTTGAGGTACGAAAGCGGGACTCTCAGACGTAACCTTTGATTCAACTGGCCTGGCTGCTGAAAGGCGGGGCTTTGTGACCTAATTAAGCTCGCGCGCGACCGCGACGCAGTCTGCGTCTCTCCCGCGCGCGGCCCCGCCTTCCATCCGCCAAGCCAGTTGAATCAAAGGGTACATTTTATTAAACAGCCATTTCAGATCGTCAGCAGGCGCATGTCCGTTGTTGGTTGTAGGACAGGTTTGCCCTCAGGAGAATCCGTTGTACTACTTCAAATGCTGCGGTGATTTGAATGCATCGTGCTGCTTCCGATTGCAGGTAAATAACGGAAATGGAGAAAATATTTCAAATCTAATACGTAAAGAATCGTAGCGTCGATTGAAAAAACATCAGGTAGCGGGAACCGCAATGTGGTCCCGAAGCGCGCGGATGCTCTAGCACCTTTAAGATTATTTGGTTCACTAGTAGTTATAATAAACAGTACAGTTACCAAAATTTTTCCAGCACATAAAAGTATCTGAATACCCAGACAGTGAAAAATCATAGCTAGCGGATCGAAAAAAAAGAAAACATAGATTTTTCATTGTTTACATAAAAAGTCAGCGCCATACAAAGTACCCAACTTCAAAAAATTGTTTGAAAATAAAAATCCCAGTAAAAAAACATTGCTTTTACTTGCGTAAATATTATTATTGGGTAGCAGTAAAAGTCTTAGAAAATGTCACATCTCCTATAAAAATTGTATCCGAAGGGTTTCGGTTTGCTTTGTCTAGAATAAAAAAAGTTTTCGAAAAGGATCCTGTTGTTTTAGAATTAGAGTAAACATTTTGCAGTCATTCTAGGTTACTCTTTCTCGTGAACCCTTTGCAGCTTATTTTCAGAACTATGGTACGTTTTTCGCATATTTATGCTCTAATATAAATTGGATGAATTTGATGTAGGGTATAATACATCCTGAACTTTCAAGAAAACAAAAATTTTTTTAAGACACCCTTCTTTTGCTCGTTCAGATCTAGCTCCATCTAACAATTATTTTAGGATTGGGTACTTGTGTTGCTACTCGTCTTGGCGATCTCCATCGTTCTCAGCATCATCGTCAACTTCATCCGATGTTTGTGCTGTTACTAATCGATGTATTGATCATCACCAATCGATATATCGATCATATGTGCCGGTCATTCTCGTCAGCTAGGAAATGTCGCCATTTCTATCTGACGTCGTCTGTATTTATGTAGAGCATTCCCGACGACATCGATGTCATTGTAACCTCTCTCGTATTTCTAACAAAATTCGCGCATTTTTCCATTTTTTCGTGTTTTTCTGCATAATCTGTTTTTTCAATCACTTGTACTTGCTCAGTCGCCATACTTGCCTTGAAGAGTGAAATGTTGAGAGATGTGATGAGTGGTATGTGTATTTGTGTGCGTATGATGCATGAATGAAATCATGTTCTTTATGCTGGTGAATTTTTTTTTCGTAAAAATAAATATGATTTGCGGAGTGGTTCCAGTCAGATAATGTGATTTGGCTTCGAATCGAATATGGTTCGATTCATTGCATAAATTCAAAAGTGGAGCGCAGGGAAATTTTAGAACTTACATCGGCACCTGAAAGTTGAAGAAATTTCCGGAGAACCAACTTGCCATCGGTGTTATGTCGTAAATAACCTATAGAATTGGCTTATAGTTTTTTTTTTTGTGAATCGAATTATGAAGGCCAAGAGGCTCGGCACAAGCTGGCACCAGGAAAATTTCAAAACGAAGTCCCGTTTGATTTTGAAAATTTCGTACGAAGTCCCTTCGACCTGTTTTGAAGACGCGTCATTAATTTTAGATTATGTGAAAGCATGTAGTAGTAGTTTTTTCATGCAGGCTGATTCCAAGAAACAACTTTTTATAGATTTCTGAGTTTTTTGAATGGTTGGATCACATGTTGAGAAGCAGAAAGCCAATTTTTCGACTGTGAAGCAGACCGAGTAATTTTCAGATGGCTATAAAACGCTGAAAAGAAAACATTATGAAATTGTTTCCTCTGTATGTAAACTCTCACGGTGTATATACTGTTGTGCAGCCGCACAAGAAACCTATGCTCGAGGAAAATGAACGAATATATTGATCTCTTGTTTATGATATGTGATATAGTTGTGTGGACTATATAAAGGCATTCCTTAGTAAGTATACTTCATTCTTAGTTCCTTGTCGTCAAGTGAAGGACTCGGTCTCCAATCGTCTTCCTACACACGCCATGGCAAACACAACAACTGGCGATCAGGATCCGAACTCAAGCACGGACACGAAAGCGTCCACTTCCTAATGAAGCAAATCATTTAACTGTGGAAGTATAATCGAGAACCCATGACCGAATTGACGAAGCAAGAATTCATCGAAGAGTACAAGGACTACTTGGAACTGCAGAATCACATACAGATGATCGGCAAAGCCAAGGTTCCTCAAGTCAGCGTGAATCAGATGAATGAGAACCCACAAGTCAACGCGATGCAGCGAGACGAGAAGGGGAGCCATTCATCGCTCACAAGCCCAGAACACATCTTTGCATGAACTGGGGAGCGAAGACCCATAGGACCAGGAAGCGCGAGGAGCCGATCACTGCATGCAAGAAATTCTGTCCGCGTAAACTATTTGTCGATGAAGCCAAGGACATCCATCCTGTCGTCATCTCATCGCCTAAAGAAACGAAGTCGTACTGCAATGAGAAAAGCAACAGCGCGAGTATGGAATTGCGATCTGACTGTGGAGCTGAAGATCGCGACACATGGATCGAGACTGGCCGACCCAAGCTAAAGAACCCGAAACGTAATCTGACTCCTGCCAATGGAACCAGCATTACATGCCATGGACAATGCACACGTGAGCATGCGCTAAATGACATCGCCTTGAATGGTACCACAAATTTACTTGCTGGACCAGCTCTACTTGAAATGCAATGGAACCAGAGCGACTGTGCCTTTCACAGTGATATCGACTATCACAATTTGAAAGCAGTGACCGCCACGAACGATACACTTGACAAGAAGCAGACTCACCTGACAACATAGTTCGCAGAAGTGTTTCAACCCAAATCAGAAGACGGCACGAGCAACGGCTGCCTTTGTGCTCGGAAAAGAGGATGCGAGCAAGATATTCGGCAAAACCCTTTCAAAGTCCAGCCAATTTGGAAATGCGGTACCTGTTTCTTATGATATTACTCAATTCAGAACAGCCGAAATCCGCGATTCTGGAAAAGACAGACAAGTTCGATTTACTTGCCATCAGCAGTTCAATAAACAAACCAAAAGAATCGTCGACAACTTGCAGTGCCTAGTTTTTAAGCCGAAAAGGGACGAGACGTTAGCCGAGGCAATGCAAAAGTTCCTCATGCACTGTTGCGATATATCAAGCCCAACTTTGGATGACTGCTCCTTTGGTGAAATGTTCACTGAATACGAAGTTCATATTGCTCCAGGTCCACTGGACGATAAACATAAAGTGCAACGTAAGAAGATGAAGTATCAACTCAGTTCTCAGCGCAAAAAGGACCCACCGCTTCACTTAAAAGGGAGGTGTTGTGCAGCCGCACAAGAAACCTATGCTCGAGAAAAATGAACGAATATATTGATCTGTTGTTTATGATATGTGATATAATTGTGTGCACTATATATAGGCATTCCTTAGTAAGTTTCATTTTTAGTTCCTTGTTGTCAAGTAAAGGACTCGGTCTCCAATCGTCTTTCTACACACGCCATGGCAAACACAACATATACGTTTCATGTAAAAAGGTATGAAAATATGTGAGCAAAGTGTCGGTGCCAGCTCAGCTGGCACCGAGCTGGCACGGTGCCAGATAATTCAGAAAAAAGTTCAGCACAGCTTCCATTCACATAAGTTTTCATAAATTCTTGGGCCATAGTTCGGCTCCCCCAACGCACACGCACACACCAAATTCGGTGTAATACTACTGCGTTTTGGCTGAAAACAACGCCTTTGTTTGTTTGATGGGCAGCATGCCGGTGGCATGCCGGCGGCTCTTCTCCGCCCCGGACCCCGAAAAAACGATATCTCCTTTGCTTTCGCCCTAAAAACGATATCCAGCTTGACCCGGTGCCAGGTGTGCCGAGCTCTAAGGCCAAGATATGGATCAAACTCAATCCTGTCAAACTAGCCCTATCTTTGATCCTCATGCAAATTCTCTTAAAGTGCTTTTATGCGAATCCGTACCATCAAATATGTAATTTGGAAATATCCCAGCAAGAGGTCTAGCTCCATTTATATTGGAGGAAACATTCCAAAAATTTAGCCAATCTTTTGCTCCTTGAATTTTTATTCAAACTGCTATCAATTTTCTTTCTTCATATCATTCATATTGGATTAGATAGGCTTGATTTTCGTCATTTTTCTCAATACGAAAAAAGGAAAATTTCTTGCTAAGTTCTTCTGTCCCATTGAAAAGGCGTGAATCCTTTTTTTACCTTCGTAAGAGAAATGCTATAAGGAAAAACATTATGAATATACGCTTAGAAATGCTATGTGCATGTCGGATTCATCAGAGAAAAAGTTTGCAGATAGATTAATTTTTGCATTTCGCGGTCACTTTGCCTAACTTCATCCAAAGGTTTTCGAATATTTCTGCTGGAACAGCCGTTGGATGGCGGAGACCAGTGAACTGTCCTTTGTAATTCCCCTTCGCTCGTCCAGGGCTCTAACGGATTTGTCCATTACGAGTTAGTCTGGTCAAACAAGGCCTGGCAGCTTATGCCTTCCAATTGCGTATAGGTAAGAGAACAGGATTTCGGTACAATAGCAGCCACTTTCTGGAGAAGGAGAACGACCTGTACATTCCAGCAAAGAACGATGTGATAACACCAAAATGTAACAGATATTATCATGCTTTCTTTTTGGTTACTTTTGGCACATTCCTGTGCATATCGAGTGAGTAGATAAATAAATGAATAATAAAATTAAAAATTTGGAGATGGAATTGTTTTATTTTTTAGAATCCATTCTTCCGTTTGACTTCATGTTCATTTTTAGGCTATAATGTGGTTAGGGTAGACCCAGTATTCTCGTTTCCATGTAATAATTTAAGGGCAAGCAGAGTTCTTGATGAATTCGCGAAAATTAGTCCTATTATTACGAAACTTGTTGAGGTCGTCCCATAGGTCTTCTCAGTTTCGAACATTTGAACTGATATTTCGCAAGACTGGGGCGAAGCCTGCAAATCTGTGGCAGTATATATGAGTGAAAAAGCTATATAATAACATATATGCTAGGAATAGAGAATTGCTACAGGCAAATGGAAAAACAGACAGAGCCGCTACGGGCAAAGTTTAGGAAATCAGCTCATTATTTTCAAGCACATTCGAAGTCCTGTTTTCATGAATCCTTAGCATGTATCGTGGTTCAATTTCTTTTGTGCCGTACAAGTTTGAGATTGGTTTTTATTTCTTCCAATCGCGGGTCTGAATGGTTCTATGTATTATCCGCAACTCAACGTCTCCTCCACTCTGCTAGTTCTTGATCTTCTCACATTGCCGCTATTAAATAAAATGCCAGTTTACACCACATATTGGAAGACCGCTATACTCGAGTAGTCTCCATCGCAAATAAGGAGGCGAGGCGCAGCATACAAGTGCATTATAATAGAAGCTAGCAAGAACTCATGCTTGGCCTTAAAGGCACCGTCCACCCAAAATCTCGAATTCAATGTTTTTGTCGCCTTCAGGTCTTCTGAAAGCCCTGATTCCGAATATGATTTCGAAAATCCGCGAAACCCCCCAAAAATCCCTGTTTTGAGAACCCTCTGCAACAAGCGCAGGCGATATAAAGCATAAAGCATGGGAGTGGGCGGGGCGACCATGGTCGCCCCGCCTACTTTGCTACTTCCGGAGAGGATTTCTCGCTCCAAAAGCAGTCTTTTGCGGCGAAGTTTGGGGGTTTCCCTAGTGTGGGGCCCACACTAGTATGCCATCATAATCTCGCCAACCTCCATTTTGGGTGGACGTTGCCCTTACATTATTACATAAAAAGTAAATATTGAGTCTACCTAATCACATTCATAGCCTAAGAATAAAAAACCATGAAGTGAAACGGAAGAATAGATTATAAAGAGTAAAATAATCTCGTCTCGGTGGTGTAGAATTACGGATGACACTTGGAAACAAGGCCTGCGAGGGAGACAAAAGGCGTCGAAACGTAAGGCCGTGATTAGAAGAAATAAGGACTACTTCCCAATCTGTACGACACAAGGGAAATTTTTACTTTGACTCATCAATTTCTTTATTAGCCATCAGAAAGATGCAACAAGTGCATGTAGGAGACATGCATGAGGGAGTGGGAAATTCGCAGAGTTGTTTTGAACTAAAATAAGATTATCTTCGTTTTTTTTTCGGGAATTCAGGAGCTTCATTTAATGACAGAAGCTGATGAGCCTAATACACTTTTCTTTTGCGTTACATTTGATCAATGC